GATTTAATATAACTGTTGCTTGTGAAAATTATTTAATGCATTTTTTTCATGTATGAATGATAGCAATTACATTTAAAATGGCATTTAAGTATACTTGGCATACTTAGAAAAAGTCTAAATATATTTGAGCTATACTTGTGCTCCTAGAATCCGTGTTTTCATTGTTATACTGTAGGGGGCCCTAGTTCACAGCTTCTGGACAGAATTTCCAAAAAAACACAAGTGAAGAAGAAACCGAAACAACAGATGCTTCCACATGTAATCTAGGACGATCATCAGACATAAAACAGCATCAAAACTGTGTAACGTTATAGAATAAAATGTTGACTAATGAAGAGGTAATAATGACTGTCAAGCTTTGGGGTGTTGACTTTACCTACGTTTTGATTATCATTTTGAATCCAATTCATAGTCTTTTATCAGCTTTTTGTTCAAAATGTTGTTTATGTCTTTATTTTTTATTTATGAAACTTATCCACATTCAAGTGTTTAAAAAAAGAATGCATGAAGCTAATAAAACTACTAAACTAGTAGTTTACTGAGACTATACTTCAAAGTGTATTAAAAATGCTACAAGTGTTTAATTAGTAAACTATCAGTATACCTATAAGTTCACTTTTAGTATAGTTGCAGTACAAGCTAAAAATATTGATGTAAACTAGTTGTGTACTCAAAGTTTACTACTGTTATACTTAAAGTATACTTTTATATACTAGAAAGTGGGTCAATTTAGTCCCAAGGAGTATTGAAATAGTACACTTACAAGTATACTACTAGTACACTGATATTTGTATACTTACTACATAAAGTATACCTAAAAATATACTTGAACTTTACTTAAGTATACTTAATAAAATAAAGTTGAAGTATACTACTTTTGGTAAGGGATGTTACTAAGAAAAATAAGAACGTGTAATATACTTAAGGTATTTGGGGATTTGCTGCTAGCTGCAGAGATGTGTCTAATGAGAATAAACATGATGATTAGAAAATGGTGTGTTTGTGTGTATGAGAGAGCAATTTAGTATGTGCATACCTATTTGTGATCCTAATGTTATAATGCCATTGTAAAAATGTAGTTGTGGTAATGTTATGGTAATTTTGTCAATGTCCAATTTCCTCCTTTCAGATTTACACAAACACAATTTAGCTTGTAACCATAAATACAGCTGAGGGGATGGTAGTACTAACCCTTAATTGACAAACATTAGTCGATAAAGTATTTATATTTGAAAGGAAGTTTTAGGAGGGCTTTTATGGAAACAGTACTTAAAATGGGTATGAGCTTTGGACCTTCAGCGGTATTATGTTGCGAGTTGCTAAAATATGCAATTATCTGTTTCATTCATTTGACAGTACACTAGAAATTTAAGAGAGTGCTTTTGTTCTAATAATTTACTGAATATGAGCCGGTTCAGATGTGACTGCCTGTGGAGGCTTTTAAAAGATATTTTATTTATAGAATGAGCTTCTGTCTCTGAGCAGAAAATGACTGCTGATTGGTGGCCTGCTGTGTGCCTGATGTCAAATGGCAGGAGAGCTGAAGTGTCAGAATGGTGCACTATTTGGACTAAGGCTATATGTGGCAAATGTCAGAAACTATTACAAGAAACCAAAACCTGCCAGCCTCAGAAATCCAAATTCTTTTTTTAGCTGTATGTCTTTAAAATCAGTGTTAAAACCAAAACTATTCAAGCTATTCAAGTGTAAATGTTCCAGTAGGCCTACACAGAATTTTTTTTCTGTTTGCATTGTATTTGATCATGTCTTGTTATGAAACATGTAGATTAAAATCAAGTATTGTTCAATAATGATTTTTTTTTGTGCATATTCTACTGCTTTTTTATTTTTATGCACATACTTTTTTTTCTTCTGGGCTTATCAAAAGAAGCTTATGTCATGTCTGCAAATATTTTATATTTGTTCAGTTGGCTTAGCTTTATTGACTTTTGAAATACAGACAGTCGTGAGTTTCAAGGTGTTGAAACTTCACACTTCAAATTCCGGTTTTTAATATTCAATCATTGTTAAAACACCAAAAGCATTTTCTCAATTGAATTTACTTCTTCACCTTTGCTCTTCTATGCTGAGGCAGAGATGAAAGAAAATACTCAGAAAGTACACATTTTAACTAAATGCATCCCTCATTTACAAAAAATTATCTCTGTTCTTCCCTTCTTCTCCATTTTCATGAATGTGATTCTGTGTATACTCTAAAAAATGCTGGGTTATTTCAACCCAATGTTGGGTCAAATATGGACTAACCCAACTGTTGGGTTAAATTTTGGTTACATTTTTATGCACTATTTGGACTAAGGCTATATGTGGCAAATGTCAGAAACTATTACAAGAAACCAAAACCTGCCAGCCTCAGAAATCCAAATTCTTTTTTTAGCTGTATGTCTTTAAAATCAGTGTTAAAACCAAAACTATTCAAGCTATTCAAGTGTAAATGTTCCAGTAGGCCTACACAGAATTTTTTTTCTGTTTGCATTGTATTTGATCATGTCTTGTTATGAAACATGTAGATTAAAATCAAGTATTGTTCAATAATGATTTTTTTTTGTGCATATTCTACTGCTTTTTTATTTTTATGCACATACTTTTTTTTCTTCTGGGCTTATCAAAAGAAGCTTATGTCATGTCTGCAAATATTTTATATTTGTTCAGTTGGCTTAGCTTTATTGACTTTTGAAATACAGACAGTCGTGAGTTTCAAGGTGTTGAAACTTCACACTTCAAATTCCGGTTTTTAATATTCAATAATTGTTAAAACACCAAAAGCATTTTCTCAATTGAATTTACTTCTTCACCTTTGCTCTTCTATGCTGAGGCAGAGATGAAAGAAAATACTCAGAAAGTACACATTTTAACTAAATGCATCCCTCATTTACAAAAAATTATCTCTGTTCTTCCCTTCTTCTCCATTTTCATGAATGTGATTCTGTGTATACTCTAAAAAATGCTGGGTTATTTCAACCCAATGTTGGGTCAAATATGGACTAACCCAACTGTTGGGTTAACAAGTTAATTTAAAAATGAATTAACTTGTTAACCCAACAGTTGGGTTAGTCCATATTTGACCCAACATTGGGTTGAAATAACCCAGCATTTTTTAGAGTATATAGTCAAACTTTCCTGAAATCCAAAGCAGACATAGAATGACAGGCTAAAAAATTCATGCCTTCTAGTTTGACTTTTGATTTTGAAGAGCACTTCTCTTCATCCCCTTTTGCATTGTGCCCCACATTGTTAATATAGTTCACTATTTTCAAAGTGCAATAGTTTATTGAATACATTTAGTGTATTTTAACATGTAACATACTAAAAATAAGATCTAGTGCATTTCATTTGAGTTCATTGGTCTATAATTTCAAACATTTCTCAGCAGTTTAAAGCTGTGAATGTCCAAAAATCTTCTCACATCGCTGTTTACTGATGACTGAAAAATGTGTTCTTTCAGATAGCTCTCTGACTTCCTGTCAATTCCACATTGTGCAATTCCACATAGTTCCGCATCTCATCACATTTTATATTCCTTTAGTATTTGTTCTTTGAGAGATTTAAATCACAATGACTCGTAGTGTGTCACAATGACACTACATGTGTCTGTTGGAGTGCTTCACAAGCACTCACCAAACCTCCCAATAACTAGTTCATCAAAAGCCAGCAAATACAACCAATCTGTACATGCAAATATGCAAACAACAATCTTAGTGTGATGATACTGAGACATCTGTGTCAATCAATGTTGTTCTAAGAAATCAGTCATTCTTAGTGCAGCATTTTAAACATCACAATAACATATGGACAGTACAGTATTAATACTTTATGAATTTTACATTGTAAATCCATTAAAATAATCACTATTAATACAGAGCCATAAAATTACATACAATCTCATGCGGGAGGAACTTTTACTTAACAAGCTTTTGCTGAAGTTAATATTATATTTTTTATTAATAATACATTAAGATATGTATCAAAAAGATGAATACTGCCGCTCCTGGTGAGAGTTACATCAGAGTTTCGATCTTGTCTCTTCACCACTGACATCATTTACTGTAAACTATCTGCTATCTGCTATGTAACTTATGCTTATCAGCGCTCCTGTTGTTTACAAGAACAAGGACCGGAGGTGAGTTTACAGAGTTTATAGTTAAAATACAAAAGGATGGTGATCTTCCAGTGATTTTCAGTTCTTGGGTCACCTGGGATGAACTTTTCTTACCAAAGAAATAAAATATCCATGGTGATAATAGTCCTGCCTGACATAATTCCCAGCTGTTTGCCAAATGAGACATTTACAGCTGCTTTCTGGAGATCAGTAACTAATCATATGATCTTCCAGCAGAAAAAAAAATGTTGAATGAAACTGTTGAAATTACAAACAAATATCCATTTTTCAGACCCATATGTATTGTAAATGACACAAACACTAAGAAATATACAGTACAGTCCTTATTTAAACAGCTCATGTTTACTCATTCATGTTTCTTAAACACAAAAAAGGTTAAAACAGGGGGTTTCAAACCTTTTGATGCCCTTTTGTGGGACCCCTTTTCTAATATACAAAGGCAGCTATATAGAAACTCATTTATAATGTGTGAGAAAAAGTGTGAACACATTCACCCATCCGGCCTGACCCAGTGTCTCGGGTTGCAGACAGCGAAAACACCTAGACAGATGGCCAGTCCATCACAGAAAGAAAACACATGGTTTCTTATAGCTTTTATTTAGTCATTGTACTGAAGCAAATGATTCATTATTAAAATATTATCTGGAAAATATTATGTTGTATTAAACAGCATAAACTTGAAAACAAACATTTTCAAATAATGTTTTACTTATTTAATTATATTAGATATCATGAAAGTATATGAATAACCCTTCAATCAAAGTAATTTCACATTTTCAAAAGCTTATGATTCACATTTGATCAAGTAAGCGTCATTACAAAACAATACAATGCAATAAAAAATATATATAAAAACACTGGCCAAAAGCACTTCTGCAATGAACACATACATTAATGAAGAGAAAACACAAAGCACCTTTTGAGCAGTGTGACACAAATTCCAATAAAATTCAGCAAAATACGTAATAAAATATCTGTACAAGAGGAATGCAAAGACACATTAGGCAACAAAACTGGTTCAGTGGCATTGCAGAAGAAGTCATAACAATGTTTGTAGCATAGTTTTAGATCTCATTCTGTTACTTACAAGATGTGCGGACTGCTTTAATAACAGAGCGTCAATAATAATAACAAAATGCAAATTCTGAATAGTCAATGTCTGCTTTCTTGCAGAGCAATGTCCGAAAAACATCTATACTAAAACAACTGTCTCATCTGACTCCAGTGGCTCTTGGCTTACAGGTGCTCCATTCTCAAAGTTTCTCCATGGCATGCCGGTATCCAAAACAAGTGGTCTGCATGGCACATCTATGCCCAATTCCTGTGAAGGAGGTGCATTGCATGTATCAAACAGGACCTCAAATTTATTCTCAGAATCTCCTGGTTCCTGCCAAATCAGCAGTTCATATCTTCCAAAGCGACAGAGCACCTTATCATCAAGCTCAGCTCTTTCGAGGTATCTCAGTTCAGACCCACCGACCACGAGTTTGACCTTCTGGCTCATGTTCTGGATCATGAAGCTCAAGAACGGGCTGCCAGCTTTCTTATACGCCTGTAAGGAGAGCTGTTTTCTGGAGACAGAGGTGTCGTTTAGGGCGAAGATGCAGGTCTGCCCATCACGGCCAAGCCTTAGTGGATCTTCAGCGTCTATTTTGTACGGCTGATTTAGGGGCAGGTTGTGGAAGAGTGGACGGCTGGCTTGGTTAGGGTGGAAGAGATGGATATGAAGACAAGTAAGCAGTTCTTCAGTCTCGAGTTTGCTATTGTCATTCATTCTGTGAAAATATAGGGTGGCGACTTCTGTGGGGTTGAGTCGACTTGTTTACAGTTAAACCTAAGGAAAAACGATAAGAAACAACTCGTTAAGTGCTAGTACACTGAACAGATGTAGCCTATGTTGCAGCAAAACGTATTATTCAGAATTAAAGTGAGAATGCACAGATAACATAGAGAAAAACTTTACGCTTAAGTATAAATACACGTACTACATAAATGTTGTACCAGTTTAACAAAACTAAACAGCAGCTTACCTTCAGAACGATAAGCAACTAACGGAGTGCTGTTGTGAAGCGGAGATCGCTTTACTAGGATGAGCACCACAAACAAAGAGGGAATTGCATCAGAAGCACTGAAATCCACCCCTTCCAGCTCGGGACATGTGACTCTCAAAAACCCCAGAGTTGCGCAACTGACTTCTATGCTTTCGCTATTTGTTTATATTTCAAAAATATTATTTGACCTGGAGATGGCAGACACGCTTTATTCTCGTTCTGATGAAAATGAAAAACCATTTGTTGCGTAGTTGAATGTTCAAACTTAAAGCACTCGCCAGTCTTTGTCTTGTGACAAGACGGTTTAATGACCAGATAGAAGAGGTGTATAATAAACATGACCGAGAACACGTTTATGGTCATCATTTACAATGTCTTCAGTCACTCCCCAAAAACGTCCTGACAAAACTAACCGCAGGGAAGTGGATGAGAAATCAATTGCATGTCAGTTTCGTCATCATATAGCAAAATAACAATCTTTTAACGTAATCTACATCATCTTTCCGGGAAGCAGAATAAGAATGCGCATATGTCACATTTGTCTTTGTTCGGCTTTCAGTGGGGTTTATCTAAAATTTTAAAACTATAAAAGTAATACATACATTCGTGAATGCATATATACATGAATCAAAGTTGAAACACTTAAGTTAAAACGGATATCAAATCTAAACATGCTAAACAATTCAACATTAGCCTATAAATCTTTTTGCTTAAGGGCGGATCTCAATAATCTTGTGTGGTGCGTTACCGCAACCTACTGGTAGAATGAACCAGAGACAGCTACCTCGTGCTAAAAACATCTTTATATTGTGTTGTTTTATATAGCATATTCCTTTTATATTTGCCAAAAATATAACTTTTTTATTTTAAAAACAAACAAGCAAGCCCTGTCCAGATTTTAAAAGTAACGTAACGCATTACTTTCCATAAAAAGTAACTAAGTACCGTAATTAGTTACTTTTTTATGGAGTAACGCAATATTGTAATGCATTACTTTTAAAAGTAACTTTCCCCAACACTGCCTATTCGCACATCTTTATTTCTGAATAATTAAATTCCATTTATAGCTGTAGTAATAGTGATTTAAAAGCCCAAGTGACATGCAGACTTTGTTTTGTGGAAAACACTAGAAGCAGAAAGACTTGTCTGAGTGGCATGTGAGATAAGGTGTTGTTTGGGAGACTTGTATCTCCAGCAGAATAAAGTTTCTTGTGGTTGGCAGCTAAAAGAATTATGAGATTTTCTTGTTATTTCTGTTTTCATTAGAATTCCCAAACTCTCCTTTCTTCCGCACCGCTCCCACCAAAACATAAACTTGATTCTTCACTGTTAGATGATAAATGTTTACCCAAGAAGCTGATTCTACTTTCAAATAATGCTATCAATTTCGATGCATTTCTTTTTCCTTTATTGATTTATTTTCTGCTGCTATGTAATATTTAAATCTCGATTTCATCCCTTGCAGTACTATCTGCTTCCATATTCCACCTCCACTCCCATGGTGCACAAACAATCACAGTAAATTCACTTTTCATCCATTCAGAACAGTTTATTTTTTTATCAATAATTAATGCCAAGGTATAAAAATATTCAGAACAGTTTCTTTTTAACGTTCCACAATCCTATCTTGTCACGTTCCGCGTGATCCATATACTTGTATTTGATTGGTTTATTCAACCTTGTGGGCGGGACTGAGGAAGTATATTATTGAATGACCCACCCTCTTCCTCATTGTGGTGAGAAACAGGCGGTGAGTATTGTTTTTTTTGTTTGTTATTTGACCTTTATAACGCCAGTACTAAAATAAATGTTTAGCATGCGACATTAAAACACTTTTGATATAAGTAGCTTAAGTATGGTGTGTAAAAACTCTGTTAATCGGCTACATGTAAAAGTAGTACATAACGTTACGTGTTTATCTCGGCGCGCAACGGCTAACGTTACTAAGCTAACGTTGTTAGCTTATTCAAACTTAGCGACAGAAACGTTTTCTCTCAAGGCGATGAGCCCGCGAATCGACGATTACTTGCGATATTCCTGTTCTCGTGATTTTACGAACATAATCACTTTACAATATACGCCGTGAGTAAACTGAATGTTTGGAGGTTTTATAGTCCGCTACGATTGAGTAACGTTAACCACACGAGGCCGTGGCGGATATAAGAACGTGTGAGGAGGAATCTTGCTTTCTTGGTACGAAACTTTGATTAAGTTCTGCTTAACGTAATTACGTTTTATTTTGTCGTATTTGTGTATTTAGGGGGAAATCAAATTTAAAGTATTTACATTAACTGGTGTGACTTGATTGGCTTCTCAGGAAATTCACGGTGTGAGCTTTCGATTTCAGTTTAGCACCAGGCGTGGTTTCGTTGCGTTGATTTGCAAGAAGCCATTACAATAACCATAATAAATAGTTTTTGCATTGATGGCAACTCATTGAAGTGTATCTCCTCACAGTGTGTTTCAGGCTCTGCATAACATTAGCAAAGATGGTGAAGATCTTCGTTGGGAACCTGCCTCCACAGGCAGAAGCAGAAGAAATAAAGTCTCTGTTTACTCAATATGGAGCGGTCTCTGAGTGTGCCATTATCAAGAACTTTGCCTTTGTCCACATGGATGATCGCAAAAGTGCAACAAAGGCGATCCGAAACCTTCATTTATACAAGCTGCATGGAACGCCCATCAACGTTGAAGCGAGTCGGGGCAAAAACCAGGGCCCGGTGAAGCTTCATGTTGCCAATGTGGAGAAAGGAGCAGATGAAGAGCTCAGAGAGCTGTTTGAAGAGTACGGCACAGTTACCGAATGCGCAGTCATTAAGAACTTTGCTTTCGTGCACATGAGCAATTCCGATGAGGCCATGGATGCCATCAAGGGGTTGGACAATGCTGAATTCCAAGGTATAAAATCCAGTCTTGTCACTCTCTTACACATCTTTTTGCATGTTTATCACATTTGCTAATATGAACTGTTTTTACACTTGCAGGCAAACGAATTCATGTGCAGATTTCAAAGAGTCGACCAAGGGGCGAGGAGGAAGACTATGGCCCCCCAGACAGTGGTTACTGGCCACCCCGTTTCCCTGGTGACCGTCCTGAGCCCCCTGGTTATCCTAGGGGTCGCTTCGGCTATCCCCCTGGTCCCCCTCCTCCACCACCACCCATGCCTCCCAGACGCCCCCCATACCCAGAGCGTGCAGCGCCGGCATACGAGCGCGAACACGGTGTGGTTGACTATTACGAGAAGTACCGCGCTCGCCCTTACGGCGCCGCCTCATATGAGGACCGGCGTCTGGGTGCCATCCCCCCTCCCCCTCCGCCCCCATCATCCGGCATTATGAGAGAGAGATTGGCTGGCAATGGCCTCGACCCCTATGAGCGACGCCCCCTTCCACCCCCGCCATCCTCGTACTACGCACGAGACCGCAGTCCCATCAGACGTGCTCCTCCTACCCCTCATACACCCGCCGGGAATGGTTACTCATTCGAGCGATCTCGTCTCTCCCCTCTCTCCATGTCTCGGACCCCGATGTACAGCATGCCTCGGGCCAGAGACCCCTATGCTGACAGGGCGGCGCCGCCTCCACCACCTGCGCGCTACTCGTATTAAAGTGCACCACTGCGCTTTTGTAATCCAAGGTGAGAATAGGTCCCGCAAGCCAAATAATATAGAAACCAGAATGTACATACATACGCTGCTCTGCGTGTGTAATTGATGCGCAAGTAGCAGTAACGTAAACTTTGTATCAAAGTGCCTGGGTCGTAAATTTTTAATGGCCTTATGGTCTTTTAAATAGCGCTGCTCGATGAACGCTAAACTTCGTATCGAAGTGTTTAGATGGTAAATTCTGCTGGTAAATTAAATTTTCACTTCGCATAAATCAAACAGACTTCCTACAAATCTTTATTTTAACTTAGCTTGTCGATTCAGTAATCCGAGATGGCACTGCAGCCGTTTGACTCATGTGGTTTGCTCTCTTTCCAGGTGTAAATTATTCAACAAGATCGTCGTCGTCGTCTCCAGGTGCACGTGCCGCGATACGTCTTTGTCTGCCAGAGCGCGTTTCGTTCGCCTGCGCACCATAGTGGAAGAGTTCTGTTGCAGACTGCACATTCTATAAAACTACCACCGCTTTTACACGCATAAAATCGTCCTCATGCTAAATTGTCAACTCTGCTTTATTTAATTTTTTTGCCTTGTTTTTATTGTTTAACATTTGATAGGTAAGAGAGACACTAAGCCAGAGCACGTCAATTAGGTTAACTTGGTGGTTTGGTAAAGACTATGAAAGGAACGCATATTAAAAATTCTTCTTTCAAAGAACACTTCAATGTATCTCACTGTACATTTTTACCTTTAAAATCTGGAATGAGCGTATCGTTTGTTATTAAACTACTGTAACAAGCGCTATTCCATAACTTTGATTTTGAACCAAAAAAATAATTTGTGTAAAGCTTTTTTTTTTTTCTCTCTCTCTCTCCTTCTCTTTTCTCCCTTCTCTAAGCTATTTGTTAAAGTGCGGCATGCAAGTAAAAATACATTCTCCGCAGCAGTAAAACCTTTCCGTCTACTGGCTTTATTGAAATTGTGCTGTAGTGTGGATTTTAGTTGCAGAGTATCGAAGTTAAAGGACTTTGTATAATTTTCTTTCATAGGAACACTTGAAAGTTTTAATAAAAAGACTGGAACTTGGTCCGTCGTTTTGCTTTTCTTGCTAACCTTTTAAACTCAACATGCCTAAATGGGCATAAAAGTAACTATACTAGACCTGTATTCGAATTAAAACCCATAACATCATGCTTCCTAGTTTAAGAGTATGACAGAGAATGGAACTGCTTCTGCGGCGAAATGAAAGCGATTGTACCATCACTTCGTCTTCAAGGCTATTTTTTTTGCTCTAAACCATTGGCGTCTCAATATTCCTGGTCTGTGTGCAAATAATCCTATCGTTTTGATTCATTAAGTGGATAGACTTCCCAATGTTTTCTTAAACAGTCAGTGGTTCTTTTAAAGTTTGATTATGCCAGGTAAGTCACTTGATGGATTTAGTTTCTTTACCACTCAGCATGCCTTTCACTACTTAATTGTTTCAAGGTATCGCTTTAGTACACCGACTGCATGTGTCTCAATGAAATGTATTTGGGTCCATATGTTTTCCTCATGCAAGTGATGATATACTTTAGGATGAACTCATGCCTGAGGGTAAGTTTTGTTAACTTATGCATTTCCCCCTTTCTCTTAGATCTGTATTTATTTTACAATAAAATGCGTATAGTTATGGCTGTTCGTTCATTTATTTGTGGGACACCAAATGCACGTGCCTCTTTTGGCAATAATGTCAACATAAGTTTTATCTTCCATTTAAGGTGAATGCACTTTCAATAAACCAATAAAACATCCCCCCCGCCCAAACTACCTTTTGGTGGTTATTTTTTAAGAATATGGCAGTTGTGTATTAAGGTATAAGTGTATGTACACAAGTAAACACTAATATGCGTGTATATATATTTACAGTTTTTATAGATACGTGTGTGTTTTTAATATATATATATATATAGTTATAAAAATATATCTAAAGTTTAAAACGCATTTACATTGCTTAATCTTTATAATATAGGGCTAAACTGCCAAATGTGTTAGAACATGTGAAAGTATTTGAAATGGTGACTTTACATTTAAAGAAACCAAGCTATTTTAACACCTACTGGATCACTCATGGCCTTGCATAAAAATTGTCCTTTTTTTTTAATCTTTATTGAACTTTCAAAATTGAACATGTTTTCGCGATTTCTCAAATTTTCCGTTTTGTGAGGACAAACAGAAACCGCAATAACTTAATAAATTGAAAAAACAAAGGAAGAAGTTAAACTTGAAGGGCATCACAGACAAGTTAAATTCATTTAACAGAAATGTCGTTCTTCGGACTTTTTGGTTTGGAAAAAAAACAATTAAGTAAACTTTAAAGGGTGTTTGAAAAGGAGCAAAATTATGTTTTGCGTTATTCCATTTGGCCTGACGAATGTAAAATTTCCCTAACGGCAATATCCATAGATTGTGTTTTGTTTTAATAAAAAGGCAAAAAGATTCAAGCTAATTGTACGTTTCGTTATGTACGTTGTACTGTTACTAGTAATCCATCACAGTACGTAATTAGTTGTAAATAATTACAGTATTTAGTTACATTAGTGCCTCAATAATAATGATTGGGCGTTCATTTTGATCTTATTTGAAATATGCTAATGATTTAAACACTGTCTAAATGGCCGGTAAAAGCCCTATACTCAGGAAAGAGCGTGTTGGGTTTTTTGTTTATTCGTGGACCGGAAGTGCTGTCGGTGACGGTGGGCGACGCCATTTTAGGCTTCATTCATCTTCGCAGCCAGTGATATTACGTGCTCGCTACGGTAAGGCAATGCTGTTCCTGCATAACTCTTTTGATTACATGAGTGCAACTGTTTAGATTTTACATTAAGGTAATGCAGTCTGGCGTAGTACTGTAATATAATAGCATGTTTCTTAATAAGGCGACGTTTACCTTGGGTAACTTTATTGTAGTCGTGCTAACTTAGCTTAGCATTACACAGTCGAAACCATTGGCCTACAGCTCTGAAAACTCCACCGACGCTCATCGGTCGTACTTAATCGTGTATCGGGCATTAAAAACACACACTTGAATGGTGACCAATAAAACTTAAGGGAATTAATACGTTGGGTGTGGTGGTCACGCGGATACGTGGCCTAGCAACGCGAGATAATTCATCTGCGCCATAAAGTCCAAGAACTGAACCTGGTCGTCTACTTTACGCACTCCACGCACTTTCATCCGATCAGTGAGTGTCACACACAACATATTTAATGCGGAGTTGTGCGTAAATCATTCTGGCCAGAAGCCACAAAATCGAAACTAAAACCTCTGATAGGATTAAGATGTCTATGGTTTTGTAAGCCAACACAGCAGTAATGTAGGAATCAATCATCTGTTGATATAACGTGCATTTCGCAACTATGCTCCCTCTGTCCAGGAAAAAACGACAATAAAGATGGTTAAGATCTTTGTTGGCAACCTATCCTCAAGCACGACCGCGGAAGATCTGCGCTCTCTTTTTTCTGAATATGGCAAAGTAAAAGAGTGTGACGTCCTGAAAAATTATGGCTTTGTGCACATGGAAGGTAAGCAGGAGGCCGAAGAGGCTATCCGCAAACTCCACCATCACGAGATGAACGGTCAAGCCATAAATGTGGAGATGAGCAAGGGGAAGCCCAGGGGCTCCACCAAACTGCATGTGAACAACATAAGCAGTGGCTGCACCAATCAGGAGCTCCGGGCCAAGTTTGAGGAGTATGGCCCTGTGGTTGAGTGTGACATAGTGAAGGACTATGCCTTTGTTCACATGGAGCGAATGGAGGATGCCATGGAGGTCATCAGTGGGCTGGATAACACGACCTTCCAAGGTGAACATTAACCTCGAAACGACGAAATCCATGGTTACCCAGGGTTGCATTTTACTCAGATTTTTTTTTTTAGAATGCGAAGAATGTTCTACTCCTTTTTCAGTTCATTGTAATTGCTAAAGAGAATTCATTTTCTAGATAATTGGCAGTAGACAGATATATTAATATTTAAAGGATAGTTCATCCAAAAGTCTCTGTTCAGTTTCATGTTGTTCCAAAACTCACAAGATTTTAGTTGATCTTGGAAACACAAATTTAATTTTACATTTACATGTCATTCGTCATATCCAAAGTGACATACAAGTGATGACAATAGAAGCAATCAAACAAAAGAGCCATTCTCTGTTAGCCTGACGCAGCACACGTAGCAAGGTCTTATTTATATATATTTCTTATGTATATATAAATGGAGATTTCTGCCCCTCCATTGAAAGTTCATGTAACCAAAACTTTGCTGATTCAAAAAGTTAATGATAAACATTGTAAGCACACATACATAGAGCACATTTAATATGGTTAACAGGCTTTCAGTGGAGGAACAAAACTCTCAGAAGTTTCTTTAAAATATCCTAATTTGTGTTTCGAGGATGAACAAAAGTTTTATGGGTTTGAATCGATATGATGGCAAGTAAACAATGGCAGAGTTAAAATTTTTGGGCAACCTGACGCTTTAAGTGCTCTGTGACTATCGTGATGCAATAATTCTCTTTTAAAATGACGGTTTACGTGAGCGGAAGAAAGTTTTACATTGTCTTGCGTGTGTTCTCTTCCTCCCACAAGGCAAGCTGATCAAAGTACAACTGTCCACAAGTCGCCTCCGTACAGCGCCCGGCATGGGAGACCAAACTGGCTGTTACGTCTGCGGAGAACCAGGCCATTGGTCCAAAGATTGCGGACGTGGCCAAAATGGAAGCTATGGCGGAGGCATGGGGGGATTCCCCGGCGGTAGAGGCCCCCCAAGGAGCGCCCCAAGTTACGGCATGGGCGGCCCTGGAGGTCTTCCTAGTAGAGGTTACCCAGCAGGGCCGCTTCCCCCTCCCCCACCCATGAGCCGGCGTCCCAGCTACGGCGAGTACAGCGTGGATGCTCGAGAACGGTACCCAAGCAGGCCGCCGAGCGCCTATCCCGAGAGGTCGTCCGTATATGAGCGAGAACGCTATGGAAGCATTGACTATTACGAGAAATATCGGGCTCGTCCGGCTGGCTCTAGCTTCTTCGAGAATAGCAGGCCTCTCTCTATTCCCCCTCCTCCTCCTCCCCCCCCTCCCTCTTCTTCCTCTCTCTCAAGGATGCGATTGGCTCCTCCCAGCCTCGATCCCTATGAGCGACGCCCTCTGGCGCCTCCGCCTCCCACGGCATCGGCGTACTTCTCGCGGGACCGTAGCCCAATCAGACGTGTGGGCGCCGGTTCGGAAGGATACTCGTACGAGCGCTCGCGACTTTCCCCGGTCTCAAGGAGCTCATCGACTTACGCCATGCCGCGGGCCAGAGAGAACTACACCGAGCGGGTTCGATACGCATACTAAGCCCACACACATGCTAAGGTGAGCGATAGAGGGTCGTTAACTTTGATGACTCAGGTGAGATGTCAGCGTGATCTGTTCTAAAGCGTAAGCCGTTTCGAGAACAGTAGTAAGCGGAGCCGCTTTGCTCGGGTTAAAAAGTACAAAAGTCAGAAAGTAATGCCTATCGAATGTTTCATCTCAAAAATTTGTTCCCTTTTTTTTTGTTGTTTAGGTGTTGTCAAGTGAAGAGACTTCCCCTCCACCTATATGACTTTGCCTCAGTCAGACGCTCCATCGGATTTCAAAGATGCAGGATTGGATAGGCACATTGATCACAATGCTTATTAGATCTGCGTGTTAATGTTTTACCCATAATGCACAAACTGCTGTTTAATTTCCCTTTCCAAAGGAGACATCTGTGTATGATTGCAAGAAGTGATTTTGGTTTTTGCTTTGCTTTTCGCTTGCATCCAGAGGTAAGGTGGGGTGTCTAATGTCAGCGTAATTTTAACTATTAACTGCAATTAAACAGACACTTTGTGAGATTTTAAATTGTACTTTCGTCTCTTAATTTCCCCCAGTCAAGTTGTGATCCACTATTACTTACTCTCTTTATTTTTTTATGCTCCAAGACTTTTCTGGAGCTGTCGGGTTGGCTTGCCACTTAATTTCTTTGATTTAAGTTCTGTGAGGACAATCTGGTAATGTTTCTTCTGGCGATAATGCCAGTTTTGTTTTTAGGGAGGAGTTGCAATCTGTAATTAATCCTGTGGCTGCAAAAAGCTTTATGGGAAAACAAACTCTAAAATTCAACATTCCAACATTCTTTTTATTATTTGCTACAGGTGATTGGTATAGACAAACTCTTCAGATTTGAATTGTACTTGCTTGTTGAGTTGTGTTGTATCTAATTGGTGCGTTCAACATGATGGTCAACTTGTTTCTCTTACCAGTGTCTGTGAGTTTTTGTGATTTGGACGCTTGGATAAGAATTTTGAGCTTGTTTTGATTGTTTACCCCCTCTAACCGATGTGCTAGTCCTTTAAATATGATTTGAGATACAACCTAAATAGTTGGGCAGCTTTCAGTGGGATGCACACAGTTTTCTGTTCTGTACACCCCAATGACTGTTTATGGCAGGAGATCTTTACATCACAAGAAGATTCACCTAGATGGAAAGGTGGACTGTACATGTGAGTGAATTGGAAATTTGCATTAGATGTGCTGACCAACTCCCACTCAGGGCTTTATTCACCTTTTGAGACTGCTAGCGTTTACTGGCGATTCTTCTTTATGGGTGCCTTGGGAAGCTCTGTGAAAATGTTTATAAATTTGATTTTCTGT